AACTGAGCAAGTATTGACACGATAATTAAATAGCTAAGATAACTAGAATTTTTATTTAATTTGTATTTAAGTTTCTTCTTCTTTTCAGTAATCACATCAAAATTTGTTGAAAACATATTTCAAGATGTTAAACAATTAAATAGAATATTTTAAATTTCATAAAATACTTAACATCTTGTTATTATATCAAACTTTGGTAAAGTAAATTGTTTCGAAAACTCGTGTTCTTACCCACAATTGTTTTTTTTTTTAATATTAAAAGTATTATTGGAAAAACCTGTTTATATGTTTACTGTATACAACAATTACTTAAAAGCTTTATAAGCTCAAACTCTTGAATTGGATAAAAAATCTTGTCGGCCCTAATAGCAATTCATTATAGCTTTAGAGAAATACTATAAATATTTTTTTTTTATATTTTAGTCTATACATAGGATACAAAAAAGAATTGCTCAATGTGTTTGGTTCAGAAAATAATTATTTTTTCTGACAAAATATATTTATTCGAGGAAATTTTCACTTTCAAAAAAATTAATTACAGGGCTGCATTAGACATTTATAATTTTCTTTTCAGTCAAAAGACAACAAAAAAACTGGTCTCGAGTTTTGTTTTGACTAGGATTGTCGTTTTCACTGTTCCCATCTTTCACATTATATCTCCTTAAATTAAGATAAGATAGAAAGGTTAAACAAATTGTCTCTCCAATCGTATTTTGTTTATTTTTTTATTTTTCTGCATAAAGAAGCAGGAGTAACACTCAGATTGATTCGATAATCTTCCCCATCAGATTTTCAATCTCAAACCGGAAAAAGGAACCTTTCTTATTACGTAAGCATTCTTTCAAAGTGTTGATGCGAGTTGGTTTGTGAAGCACTCCCATCAGCGAGAAGCTAAGTACGGAAAATATTTGTGCACCTTTATTATTATTTTTTTTATCTAGAGTAGGAAACGCTTTTAAATGAAGAGATTCGTGCATTATTTTTACAAAAACAACTTAGAGCCGTTAAATTGAGAAATCAAATGTGATTCTGTTTACGAAAATTGAATTTGTATGACGAGTTTAAAGTAACGTATAATGTCCTTAATTTGAAGGAAGGGACAGAAATTTATTTTAACTAAAGATAGACTTTAAAGTAGAGTATTTCTTAATCATTAGAATATAAAATACCTTAACAGAATAAAAAATGTGTTTAATAAAAATTGCGGTTATATAACATATAATAAAATGCTATTGATATGAAACACAATTTTTGAAATTAAAATTAGAACTTCACTATAATTATGATGTTAAATGCTACATGATAATTAAGGAAAGAAAAATATTATTGGTAATTAAGAAAAGCATTATTATATGAAAAAAATTAGAAAATATGCTTTTAAAAAAATGATCAAGGATAAGATAATTATAGTCATTAAAAAAAGCACTGTACTTGTAAAGTAAGTAACTATACACAGTAAGGTATATCTAAAAATTTTTTGCTCATTCATTTTATTTTATATTTATAAACTTGTTCATGGTATTTTTCATCCAGGCTTATATTTGATATTAATTTATAAAAACTATGAGTTTAAAATGCAACAAAAAATATGTATAAAACTAATCTGACGAAGCTGTGACTATATATATATATGATAATATTCTTTATCCGAAATCCCAGAAGCTTAAGAGGAAACTTTATTTTTCAGTTTCGATTAATTTATGGCAAAAACAAGCCATAATCCCTTCTCTTATTTGGAAAAGTTGTGTTTCAATATTCTACTTTTGTTATATATTTTTTGAAGAAAATTTAGGAAAGTAAATGATCATATTCTCGCAAAGAAAGAACGGAGAGCAATAGTTTTGTTAAATAACCCAATAGCATGATAATGACTTTTCGGAAGAAAAAAAACATAATTTTGGTTAATAAAATCAAAATGTAAAGTATTTAAACCATTCATTTGGTAATTTTTCGGTTCCTTTGGTAACGGTTTATCGGAAATTCCAGTTCGCAAAATTGCAGCTTTCCTTACCACAGATTTGGTAAACAAATAATTAAATTTTGCCACATTTACTGAATTTTATCACATGTTATAAAATCAAATTTTACTATTTATTTTACCAAAATCATTACAATGATTCTAAAAGCTTACAGAGATTTTCGTTGCTCCCATACAAGCAGAAACGCTGCAAATTTTTCCCTAATCTGGTAGGTTTGACCATACTCTTTTTCTCAGTGAGTAAATTTATTAAAAGAAATTTTACCCACAGTGACTTAATCTGTTTAACAACTAAATTATTATTTTTACCTTGTAGTCTAGACAAATGTACTAAAAAAATTTATGATTTCCGTGAATGTAAATAGAAGTAAAATCTGTTCATTTCAGAATAAGTAAAAATTACTTGTTATATCGGTTTGCTAATAATACTTTTTGCATAAATTCAATATTAGCTTAAAGAAGAGATTCAGTGAGTTTTTTTCTTGATGTTTTCGTCTATTTTAGTAACTAAGCCGCATTTTTGTTAATGTATTTAAGATTAAATAATAGTAATTAAGATTAATAATAGTAAGATTAAATAATCTAAAAACAATCTAACAGAATGCTTAGTTTTAATTTTTTTTCCTAATTTTAGGGTAAAAAATATAATAATATTACCAAGAAATCAATGTAAATCTACAACCATTATTTATTTCTCTAATTGAATATATTAAGCTAATGTACGACTCTTTATTAATTATACAAAAAAGGACACTTCAATTATACATTATTCTCAATTTTACTGAAAAGCAAAAAGGAAAAATATGTATTTTTTTTTCCTTATTTTTTTGCATAATCTACCAGAAACTTTATTCTTCAACAGGCAAAATGTATTATATTTAATTTTTAAAAGCTTTCCTTTTTAATCAAATTAGTAAACGCCCTGTTCTAGATTTATAAGATTTATCAAAGAATTTAATAATATTTAAATTGCAAGTTACTTTTTTAGTTCATAATACTGTTATCTATGAAATATACGTAACTGGAATCAAGTTTATTGTTTGTTTTTTTTAAATAAATCTTAACGATCGAGACAGTGTTAGTTGCCAGGCCGGTAGCTGTTAATTTTTTTGTTTTTGTCTTGTTTTAATCATAAGTTGAAAATTTAATTTAATTAAAATGATAAACATTTGAAGAAGTAATGAAAATGCTTTGAGAAAGAGCATTTTATTACAGTTGCTGTTTAGATTATGTATTTTTAAGTAAATTACTATTTTAATCATTGAATCATACATGTTTTTAATCTTTAAATAGGATTTTCGTGGTACAGTATGCAGGTGTAATAATTATTGTTCCATGTGTTTGAAATGTTATAATTTAAAAAAAAACAAACATTTTATTTAGGTATTTTCAATCAGGCGTGACAATATTTCAAGAATATTTTAAAATAAAAAAAGAATTTATCAAAAATTATCACACTGTAAATAATTTTAAAACTCCGAAACAAAAAATATAAATGGTTTAATTACTTCTTAGCAATTCTATAATATTTCTATGTTCCTTTATTAAGGAATTTTCGTTTTTTTTTCAGTTAAAAAAAACTTGAATAAGTTAAAATTAAACCAGTGAAGTTATTTAGAAACGGAAAACAAATTTCTGAGTGAGTAAAAAAAAGATCATGATTCAAAATAGTGAGAGTTCCGCAGTGGACTGATCGTAACGACTCGGTTTTCAGGGGAACACCGATGTCAAGCATCACTGTCTGCTGTCAGTAAGCGGGTGGGTGATCAATTTGATCAGCCTGCATAGTGACTGAGTGTGTGTGGTATCGGTCCTTGTTAAACTGTTCTACCGTAAAATGCTAGACTTCGAGATCAGTTCGTCGGGCGGCCATGGCAGGGGAGCTATTCCCTCTGCAGAGAATCATAATTGTTATGACATGTCTTCGGATCATCCTCAGGGATGTTTCCTAGACCGTCGCCAATAGCCCATTGTGCAGCTCTAGTGCGACGTAAATAAAGTACCTAACAACCTACCTCAAAATAGTGAAAGAGTCAGAATGGGCAAAGAAAACTGTTACATAACCAAGTACTTCATTATTCTTTTCATTCACCTAAATTGTCAATGAGTCTAACAATCACTAAAGAATCAGATGTAGAAAAATAGCTCAATTAGAATAGAAATAGTAAATAATTAAAATATATATATATACTTAAAACAGCTAAGCCTGATTATTTTTATTGAATTTTACTTTTGTACAATAATTTAAGAAATATTTTGAAAAATGTGATGAATATTCAATGAAAATATTAACTATATGAAAGGTAATAGACATTTCAGAAAAATATTAAATATATGGAATCTAACGGACATTTCATAAAAATATCAAATATAGGAATGGTAATACACTTTTCTTAAAAATATTTAAAGCTATTGATATGTTTTGGATCATAGTTGCTATTACATAATTAATAGCTCAGTAGGGTAAATTTATTTCATTTAAATTTCATTTTCTGAAAATAAAAATTGTATGTTTTTATGCAATTTAGAAATATTTTGTTACTTTTTTGGGTGAAATCTAGATAGTTTGCATTAACGAGAAAAACAATTTGGAAACGAAACACTCTCGAAACAATAAAAAAAAATTATCTTGTCTTAAATGACAAATACATAAATTGTGAAAGCATAATAAATGTTCATCAATTTAAAATCCATTACTCTCCTAAAAAATCAACAAAAGCACGTAAAAGAAGAAGTGTAATCTAAGCTATCTGATTAACGATTTCTCGTACATTTCTGAAAACGCAAAACAAATAACATTGATAACGTTATATGATGGTTCGATCATACTCAAAAATGCTGTAGTAAAATGTTAGTCAATAAAAACACGAAAACGAATATTCTAAAAAATAAAAGAAACGTCACCCACGATGAGATTCTCAAATGGAAAACTTTCTCTCAATTGGTGGAAAAAGCCTTCTACGTCAGAGCCCAGCCACCTGATTCTGTCCAATCATTATAGGGAGTTAGGTTAAAAGTTGAGGCTTCTAGCTTTGGCGCTCACAACTCGTAATTTTCGAGCTTGGTCTAACACCGATCCCGTTTTTGAAGCAGAAATCTGACAAATTTATTTTTTTCTTGTTTTGAGCTCCAATTTAGCTTTTGGTGAAATATCTGCTTTTCAAGCATGGCCAACAGGTTGGATATTTTATCAGATATTCATTAATATAATACTTATAAAAATATCATTTATATTGCAATCTAAAAGAAAATGTTTTTTAAATTTGAGTTAAGTATAACAATTAAATAATTTTGGTGGAATTTTTAAAAAAAAATTAAAAATATGAAATACATTAATTATATGTCGTTTAAAATTATTGCCAATGAAACATTCTATTAAACTAAAAATATAAATCAAATACAAGATTTACTGTATTTACCATATGGAAGTATTTGTAACCAATTAATATTGTGGATTTTTAATGTTAGAAAAATGTTTTGTAGATTATTAATTTTAGAAAGAACATGAAAAAAGACTTTCTTAAGAATATTAATTTGTTGCACTTGTTTTAGATATAAAATCGAATTTGATGGGAAAAATTATTGTTTATGAAGTAAAAATAGGCAAAAGTAATGCATGTCATTTGAGTAAATTAAATATTTGAAGATGAAAAGAAAAAAAAAACCTTTTTCAAACTGCATATAAGATTCTGAAACAACTTCTTTTTTTGAGAATTCTCAAAACTTTGAAAAACTAATAGAAGGTTTTCGAAAAATGTGATGCTTTGTATAGTTTGTAATTTGAAACTAATGTCCTATTTATTTTTGGTCGAAAATCCGCGGACTTTGAAATGGTGCTATATACATTATAAATTATAGATTTAGATATAATTTACCATTTTAAATTACCATAAATTATTAAGATATTATATATTTGAAGATTAATAAGAACATTACTTAATTTTAAAAACGAGTTAGTTATATAACAAAGTAAATATGCATATAAAAACACTGGCATTTTCTTATGCCTCAAGTATTTTCTTCGATATGAAATAACTTTTATTTCTTTGTGGATACATTAGGATTTTAGGCATATTTCAAAGGTTTTGATGTACTTTAATTTATACAATACATATGATGCATCAGTTTCTTTAGAATTTTAAATAAAAAGGATAAAAATTAAGACTATTTGCGCTAGCTAGAAGAAATTTTACTTAAAATTAATTAGAAGCATGCAGCATTTTTATCAATATATTTAAAAGCAGAATAACATTCATCTTTATTAATCGCAAAGTTTATTAAATAAAATCTATCTGCATACTAATTTGATAATTTCGCGCTCTTATTATTTTAAATTCGCTAACGCAGTATTTTTTTCATTGAGTAAATGCTATAAATAAAATTAAATTTAAAAATAAAAATAAATTTAAAAATAAATGTTAAAAATAAATTTAAATTGAATAAATTATTGTTCAGTTCATTAGAGAAAAAATTTTGAGTTTACAGGATCAAGAAATTATCAGTTCTTAAATATGAAAATTGCTAGTTTTTAAAATAACTACAATTCCATAGAAGCGACAGGAGATTTGAATATTATAAAACCAAACAAAATTACTTTTTTCTGTTTTAATTATATAAAATAAATGGAAGTAATAAATTCGATAAAAATAATTCAATAATCATTTGATTCAAAAGCAACCTGTTTTCTAAATCGAACTATCTAATATCCAATTATTTCGAGTAGTAATCTAAGGAATAATTTAATATAATAAAATTATTCGAGTACTTTAATATAATTAGTGCCGTCAAATTTTAATAAGGTAATTGAAATTTCAAGTTCTTAGTAATCTTCAAGAACTTCATCGGAAAAACATAAACCTATAACTGTTTTGAATTTGATTAGGTGTTGTTTAGAAAATGATAAAAGTCATACTTTACTTAATATGTGATCCTTATTTTCAACGATAGAAAAAATTTGCAAGAGAGTAATCATGCATCCAATAAAGTAAGGTCAGTTAAATAAAATTATTAATAATTTCGCTGTACTTTTTCCAAAAAATTTTCTAAAAAGTAGAAACTAAAAACCTTTTCAATAAACTTAATTTAATAAACTTTTATTATAAAAATATTATTAATTATTCCATTTGATATCTTTATATATTTTAATTAATATTACATTTTTGTTCAAATTTAGAACTGTGTTTTATTATGAAAAAATATTAGTTTTTTCATATTAGAACAGAACCACTATTAGTTTACAATGATTAGTTAATATGCTTATAACTTTTTTTCTTGAAATACAAAAATAAAATCATTAATATGTACAATTATTGGTGATTGGATACTTCGCGCAAAATTTCCAAACATTGAAGTATTGAATGTGAAATTCAGTAAAAGAATTTGCCTATAACGTCATAAACCCTTTTCTAAATTAATGACAAGATCTTAAATTTTAGCGTAGAGATTTTTTTTCTTCAAATATTTAGAGATGACTGTTTAATAAAAAAAACTCAAACTTTAATTACACATCCAGAACAAGGAACAGTTAAAAACGCAAGGAAAAAGCGTTTCGTATGCTCAAAGAGTTAATAAAAAAATTTAATTAAAAATATTCTTAGTTTTTAATTAATTAATAATAATTATGACAACACTCCTGCGATTATTTTAACTAGGGGTAAAAGTAATCACCTTTATTTGTCGAGTATTAGTAGACATAAGAGTAATTATTAATTTATGTTAACAACTGTGTCAATGTGCTCTGAGAGAAAAAAGAGCTTAATCAAAATTATACGACTATGGCATAATTTAACTTTTGTCTCTCTCTATGGGAACACCAAAAAGATCCGTAATTTTTACCGAAATGATTTTTTAATGCTTTTCGTAAAATTAACAATAAAATACTGTTTTATAATGTGTGTTAAAATTTGGTAATTTTATCATGATATCTTAAAGCATGACATGAAAACCGTTTATTTTACTTTTCGATTTTGTATTTATCCCTTATTTTGTAGTGAATTTTAAAACCAGAATTTCCGGTAATCCATTAACATGCGAGGAAAAAAATTACCAAGTAAGTGGTTTAAATTTTGGTAAAATTAACAATAAAATAGGATTTTATAATATGTATTAAGATTAGGTTAACTTGGTAAAATTTGAAAATATAAGTTCTTAGTTAGTTTTCTTTCATAAAATTGAGAACTCGTAGCTTTTTTAACAGCTTTGTGCAACTTATTTAAAAATTCGAAATAAATAAATAATAATAATAATAATTTGAGCAGACGATTTCGATTTTCTAATCCTGAAATGATTCAGCCTATAATAGTTTTGAGCAATGTGTTAATAGCTGACAATTAAATGAATATCTAATATCAGTGAAACAGAGACAATGCAATTAGTTAAAAACCTAACAAAAAACATTACCAATGGATCTGTTCTGGTCATAGCGTAGGATGAAGAGTAGGCGATGTTAAAATACTTTTGACTTTTCCTTGGAAAAGAAAACACTTTAGTCAATTTTCAAAAAAAAAGTCCGAACGTTAAATCGATTAACTGAAATTAAAAAAATGGAACTTTAAAACAACAACACCCTCTTAAGATATTTACCGCTTAAGTTTTGCGCAGAAGCTGTATATCATACACTTTTTTAAAATTTCTCGGAAAAAATAGTCGAATAACAATATATTTAATTGTTACTTCCCTATAGTGAAAGAAAACTCATGAATAATACGGTAATCGAACTGTTAACTGTGAGAAAATCTTTTATAAGCTGCCTTCTCATAATACGGTTTAAAAACAAAACAAAATTTTATCTCACTAACTAAGCCCACCTAATGAATCCGCTTAGTTCCTTGCAACTGCGTTCATATTATATTCGCGAGGGCAAATCTGTCAGTCTGATGACAGACGGAACTGAAGTTCGAGTCACAGCGTTGACACCGCAATATATTCTCCATTTCCTACAACGCGTGAAGAGTTTCCAGTATCCAGGACTCCTCAATTTGTGTTCCTCACTCTGCGATTCCTATTATCTAACGAACAGCCGTGATTCTACATCTAGTTAAATTTCTCTTTTACGGTTTTGAAACCATTCTAGTTCCAAATTGTTAAAAAAGCGTATAGTTTTCCATTCAAGGTCTTATAACCATATTAGTTGTGAAAAGTTTCACAACCATAAAAATAAAAAAGGTTCTCACCGTAAACTGTAAGGTTAATTGGATGGACATACTGCTCATGGTTATTTTACCATAATCTTGTGTATCTAATATTTTACTGTTATAAAATGTCAATGCGAAAAGCATTCCATCTCAGTCCAATCTAATGTATCAATATTTTCTGCCATTCTAACCTAATTAGGTCTATTTCGTGGATACCATGTATGGTACCCGCCCGTGGATACCATCATTTGAGATTTTTAAACCGAAACTCTGGTGATCAGTGCAATAACGCTTTATTTTACTCTAATGTCTTCCGAAAATAACACATGAAAATTTACAATTATTTTAGTCCAACATTTTGTAAAAATTTCTTTATAACTAAAATATATATGCACGAATATGAATGTACGAGTACGATTACGAATAAAAAGTATGTATAATACGAGTATAAAGTAGTTTTAGCCATTGTCATCTATTCACCTTAAGCTGTGTTACAAAATATAACAATTGATTGCCTCACCTGTAATGTGGAATTGTTCTACTTACAAATAACCTTAGCCTTCATAAGCACATTTATTTTGAAGAATTGTTAATAGAAAATTTTATGATTAAATGCAAAGATCACTGTATGTCTAAAACATATTTGAAAGATATATGAAAAGAAAATCATTTTATTTGCATTCACCTACAAACCTTAAGGTCTATTACGAAATATAATAATTAGTTGACCCGCATGTGATGTAGAATTGTTCTAGTTACAAATAACCTTAGCCTTCATTAGTCTTGAATAAGCATATTTTCTTTGTAGAATTGATCATAAATTTTTTTTACGAACCAATGCAAAGCCTATTTGCCTAAAATACATTTGTACAAATTACGAAAAGAAAATATTTTTAATTGTATTCATCTATAAATCTTATTCTGTGTTACAAAATATTAAAATTGATTGTCCTGCACGTGATGTGAAGTTATTTTACATACAAATAACCTTAGTCTTCGTAAGAATAGAATATTTTGTGTGAATAATTAATCACAGAAAATGTT